TTCCACTTTTCAAGATCTCTTTTTGTTTCTTGTAGTAATGTTTTGTAATTTTCTTGGAAAAGGTCCTTTGTACTTCTGGTTAAATTTATTCCTAAGTATTTAATCTTGTGATGAGCTATTGTGAAAGGTATTGTTTCTCTTATTTCTGGCTCTGTATTCTTTTTGTTGCTGTAGAGAAATCCAACTGATTTTTGTATGTTGATCTTGTATCCTGCTACTTGCTGAATTGGTCAACTACGTCCAATAGTTTTCTTGCTGAGTCATTTGGGGGTTACTTTCAAGCTATAACTGTGAGTGGTTTTGATAGGAACTGTATGGGGCTCTATGTCTAAAATATTTACTGTATGGACTTTTATGGAAAAAATTTGCTCATTCATGCTCTAGAAGTAAAAGAAGCCAGACATTAAGGTTGACAAGTTTTTCCCTCCCAACTAAAGCCCTGGTACAGAGGCCACCACATCCCCAACTCCATAACAGAGGGAGGAGCCAGCATCTGCACTGAGCAGGGACAGATTCTCAGGAGGTGAGCAGACAGAGTATGAGTGTGAACTACTTCAATCCTCCAAATCTTATTGATTAGTACTATTATCATCACTTCTATTTAATAAATAGAAATAAAAGCACCAAAAATATATATTTTTTCTATAGGTTCCAACTAGCAGGCATGGCACTGAGACAGAGCCCTTTGTAAAGCACCAAGTGTCCATTCTGAATGACCCTTTCCTCAGAAAAAAGAACTCTCAATCTGAAAATGAGTAACCATGGACAGGCCAAGGGAGCTCTGGCCTAGAACTAAGGAGTTGTACTGCCTACTCAAAGGCATGTGGTTCAAATCCACCAGCTACTCAGAGGGAGAAAAGTGAGTGATCTCCCATGTGATTTATGGCCTCTGAAAATTTGCTGGATGGTCAGCTCTGCATTTGGTTCTGACTTGGTGGAACATAACGACACGGCCTGGCCTGGCCAGGTGACCTGCCTTCTCCTGCCTGCCTGTCCGTATCTG